TTAGTGACGGAACGACCTACCTGTGAAGTATGAACAAAACCGGCCGAGCGGAAACAATCACAGAGTTAAAAGCCCTTGCTGGTGAAAAGTTACCCCAACTTTAGGGTCAAATTTCTCGGTAATGAAAACAGATATCAAAAATTCAAATGGTAACTTTGTGCCCACACTCAAGCTGAGTAGAATGAGCTATGTTTGAAGTGTTTTATCCCAAATTTGTAGGAGGAGATACATTTGGCGCGAAGCTATCCAAAAATCAGTTTTTTGGCTGTTGCTATGGCAACGGTGGGCCAAAATATTTTGCAGATTTTTCCTAATAACTAGGGTGAAGGTGTGACCTACCTGCCAAGTTTGAACGAAATCGGCCAAGCCAAAAAAGTCACAGAAGAAATAATACGTGAACACTGGAACACTGGAAATGTACACACACAGACACACACACACACAAAACGACAAAAGTGATTATAAGGGCAATCCTAGCGGAGCGGAGCGGATCGCCAACAATATCGCTGGTATCAATTAGCTTGTACTTAAATTAAACCAACCTTTTATGAGTTGAGGAATGGCAAGTGATATGTCATGCTCTTGTGAGATGATCACCAAAACAAACCTATATTTCTGAAATCTCTAATGCAAATTTATGTTAATTATTTTATAAGGGACAGTGAGGTATATATATATAGCAGTAAAACAAATATAACTGTACTCTTACAACACACTATAGTCAACATGGCAGACAACATAAACATTCCAGTAAATTCCAGAAGCTTCACTTTTTGCAAACTTGATGACCAAGGGGCTCAGGAAAGGAGAGTTTATGTAAATCCTGCAGTAGACTACCCTCTCTGACATGACACGATGCAACTTTCACATTGTAGAGGGTTGTATGCGATGTGATGCGAAAGAATAATGGATTTTTCTGTTGTGCATGGATTCTGAGCATGTTCATTTTTATCATGTTGCATTGGGTGGTCTGCACTTCCAGTAGCGCTGTGACACGAGAGAGCACTAATCAGAATGTGACTTACCGCCATAACGACAAGTAAATGACATACATACTATCATACCGTTGTGCGTGATGCTATCAGTCTGCACTCCCCGTGGTGATCGTGGCAATCAGGTCTTGTCACAGGGGGTTGTCTGCTGTTGATGTAGGAATGTCAGATTTAATATCATATTGTTTCAAATTATGATGGTTTTATTTTTGCAGTGGATAGTGCCCACAGTACAAAACTCTATGAAGCCGTTCAGTGTAAGTATATCTATATGGTGTTTAAAATGTTAGAGAAAAGTGAAATCATGCCGTAATGTATATACTGGTACTAATATTGTAGTGAAAAAAGAATGCCAGATAAAGGCTTCGCAACTTATGTTGAATATCTCTTTAAAATTACATACTCACCTGAATCTCACAAGGTAGACTCAAAGGTTGTTGAAAATAAAACAGTAACTTTTGACTGTATGCAGAAAAGGTGTCAGAATTACATACAAGAAACAGAAATTAATTTTCTTGTCCTAAGTGGAGTACAGCCATTCTAGAAAACTGGATATACCCAATTGTTTTCCCTATACTAAAAAAACAATTATAACATACCAGTACCCCAATAGGTTGTTTTTTTTCAACCGCTATTGAACATTAAAATTTATTTCATCGTATTTATGCCCAGTCTTGTTACCTAAATCTTACATACAATAATCATACAGTGTATGGATTGTTGGTCTAATATTTGTTCTGATGTGCTTCGTTCTTCTGCAGGAAATGGATTTATCAAGAATTTTAGAAAGAACAATGAAATTAGCAGTAAGCAATACCGTATTATAAAAATAATGTCTGTATATGAGCGGATGTGATTTTCACTGCGTTTACTTGTGGTTTGATGATTTACTTTTAATCTTGAGAAGAAAGTTTGCAAAAGTCGCTCTGTGACTTCTTGTTTTTAGTTCCCCAATGAAAACTACAAAATTCGACAATATTTCACTCAATCATGAAATTCACAGAAATTTGTCTCTAATGAAATTAACATACCGGTACTTGTCAGACTTAGTACTCAGCTCCAAAAATTGTGTGTTATAAGGGGTGATGATTTGCCGAGCAACCGCTTGAAAAAGTTTGCAAATGACAATTTTAGGTGATTGAGTGAAATATTTTGTCTCTTTGGGGAAAATAAAATTGTGAAATTAGTTGTGTAGTCATTGATTTTCGCAACACTTTTACAATGAATAAACAGAAATAGTCACACATATATCATATCTTAATTCGTACCACACTGCACATATATCATATCTCGTATATCGTATTCGTATATCATATATTATATCTGTACTAAAATGTCAGTTAGTTACCAGTATTTAATTATAAAATGTTCATTTCTTTGTTTTGTAGATCCCAAATCATTTTATTTGGTTGATATGGTTTTACTGGTTTTTCCACTCCTGTTTAAATGTCCTGGCGGAAGTGTTGAGGTTTGGGGACAGAGAATTTTATAGAGATTGGTGGTAAGTGTGTGTATGAACCTGAGAACTATTATTTCTCTTTGAACATAACATTATCATCTTAGAAACTGCTTTCCCTAATGGACAATGACTGCCATCTGTAAATTTTATATACTTCACAGGAATTCGGAAACACTTGGGTATTTTTGGCAGAATTGGAATATACCAGTACACAAATGGGGAAGTCGGTGAGTAAATTTACTTGCATTAATATCATCATAATTCAGAATCATTCGTTGTACAGTCAGAGATCCAGCCATGTGTTCTCCTAAAATGAATATGGGCAACACAATGACAACAGTTGTCTTCTTAATGTTCCCCTTTTGTTTACACGAGAGACAAACATCAGTGTTCTGTGCAGGTATCTCAAGTTCAGCTCTACTGCCATGATCAAATTTTCCAGAAAGTTATTTGTATGCTAATGATGTTCTTAGTAATGAAAATTAAGTGTGTGCTACTAGTATTTCGAAATAGAATCAACATCTATGGATGCAAAGCTTCATTAATATAATGCTACATACTTTCCAATTCTCTGTATTTGTAAACTAAACTCATGTCACTGTTGACCCCATTTAATTTAACCCTTTGAGCAAAAGTTCACTTTTGTAACATTTCACAAATAAACAGAATAATTTTTTCAATATTGTTGATGAACCAAGTAGTCAATGAGAAATTATGTACATTCGGTTCAAAATTAACGAAAAATCATTATCATTCTCAATTGTTTGGAAGGACATTAAGTTATCTGAACAGTTTCGCAGATAATGTGCTCACTGGATTGGCTAATATAATTCGGTTTCCAAATCTCCAAACATGACACATCTGTATTTAGACATGATTACATGGTATATGTTGACTCTTTAAAGGGACACTTCCAGTTAAGCCTAATCTCACAACAAATTTATTTTCCTGATTAAAATTACAATGGATAACAAAAGATGGATTAACTTTGTAAATAACATAAACAATAGTGTCCCATGATTCTTTGGTGCAATCCCTGGGCTTGGAAAGTTCCCTTTTAAACAGTTGTTTGGGTTGGGGGTGGTGCTCTTGGAATATAATGTCTCTGTCACAGTGACTTATTCGGTTTTGTCATTCTAACTTGTGATTTTTTTTTCTTCAGACATTTGTACAAACCAATGTTGACGAGAGGTTACACGAGAATGCAAGGTCAAGTTGCTGTATTTATGTTGTCAGCATTCTTCCATGAGGTGAGTCTCAAAACTTTTTCTGACTTCATCCCTGCCCACACAAACACTGATATTAGATAATTTACAATACTTATGAAACTTAGCCAAATGCGAAAGTGAGAGAAAAATTATTTGTGCACCGTTAGCTATTTCCATGCTGAAAAATACTCAGACGTTAGTTATAGATAACTGGATAATCAAACCACTGTGTACGTTCTTTGGTGAACATGATATTGCAACGTATTCAAATATTCCACTGCATGAAAAGTGTGAAATATTTTTACTTCATGTTGAAAATAATTTATCTCCTGCAGTCAACAGGTGGTAAGCTTCACAGCAATGTGCTGTTAGCAGGATTGTGATTGGTTGCAGAATATGGCAATACATAAGTATAAACATTGGAATATGTACATACAAGTAGTTGTATGTGTCGTAGATAAAAATCTACAGCAATATTATTTTTGTTTCTAAAATCAATAAAAGTAAACAAAAATTAACAATGACTAGTTTAAAGAAAGTTGTCACATGCCAATGTATTTCTTTGAATAATTATATACCATCAAACATTTTGATGTGACAAATTCAGGTGTTTTTCTACAACTTCTTCGTAAATTTTAGGACTGTATATAACCAAATTGGAGGGGGTCTATTTTGTGAAATAACATTACTACTTGATGTGATTAATTAAAGTATTGTAATTAATATATTCTCACCCAAATTATTAGACTGATCCAGGGATATTCCAAATATTGGTGTGATGATGTGCTTTTTGACGTTTTTTGAAAAGTAGCTGACCAAAAACAATTCATTTATTTTATTTTATTCACATTATCACATTCAATTTTACTGATGTTCTTTGTGTCCATATCCATATACAACTGACTTTTAAACATTGATACACAATGGGGATGATTTGTGGATACTGATCATAGTGTGCTATGGTTCTTATAACCACAACGTACATGTATAATGTACACATGCAGCTGTCTGTTATAAGTCCATTTGTATATATGACCTTCTGAAGACCGAACATTCTTCCCAGTGATACAGATTCACAATGTGATATTCTCAATTAATTCCTCTCGAAATGCAAACATTTGTCATTTAAGTTCTAAAAAAGTTCACTATGGCAATGATAGAATTATAATCTGATGCTATTATAGTGCAAGAATACCCTCAGCAGGTACAGAGATGTGTGATCTTTAGAATCATACATAGGTACCAGGATGTGTGACCTTTAGGGGTCATACAAAGATATCAGGATATGTGACCTTTAGGGGTCGTGTTTAATGCTTATTATCTTACCTGTTGTGACAATACAGGAGATGATTATACCACCAGTCCATTATATATCTAATAAAATTGTCTTTGTTTCGCAGTATCTCGTGAGTATACCGCTGCAGATGTTCCGCTTGTGGGCTTTCATGGGTATGATGACACAGGTGAGTGTAATCACACTTGTTATACATTGACTTCTAAAATCTGTTCAATTGTAATATCCATAACTGTGTAGAAGTTTATACAGCTAAACAGTGAATAATATGAGGGTACATGAAGTACATGTGTGAAAGCAGTACTGATGCGTATTGGAGATCCAAGCTATCGTCTTTACCATAATCAACCTTTATTTTTTGCTGCATTCTCGTGACACCTTTATTATTTATACTTCTTGTGGAGTACGTTCAATCCATGTCGTTCACGCATTACATAAGACCTCACAATGAACGGAAAATCACCTATTTGTGTCAATTTTCCTGTTGTCCATTGTTTTCGTAAGTCCTATTTTTATCGAATTTTCTATGAACATACTTCATTCAAGAGTGTGCTGGTTTATCATTGCTTCATCCTGCTTTCTCCTCAGGTACCATTGGCTCTTGTTGTGAACAGAGTTCATAAGATTTCGCCTGTCTACAGTAACATGATGGTGTGGATGTCAGTAATTGCTGGTCAACCCGTGGCTATAATGATGTACGTCCATGATTATGTTGTACAGAATGCCTTGCAACAAAGTAACTCCACAGTGGTCTGATTTGTCTTCTTTATGCAATGAACAAAACACTAAGATTTCATACGAATGGGATTTCTGAATGGAGTGCATCAAAAAGAAGAATGAAGACGATGATCCAATTATGGCTCCATTGAAATGCTGATTATTTCTGAATTTTTGCTTCCTTCTAATCCTGTTTCCAATATACTTTGTTGAAAAAAATTCAATCATGTGCTACTAGGCGTACAGCGCCCTCTACAGACGAATAATTTGTGTCTATAGAGGGCGCTGTCAGTAAACAATCTTTCTACTGTGTTTAAAAAATAGAAATTGTTATTGGACTGAATTTTGTAGCATAATAAGTATTTTTTGTGGGGGAAAATGTCTACTTTATGTTTACTGGGTTATAATAGTTTTATAGAAGTTAGAGTTTATAACTTTTATTAAAGAATATATATAATGGAAAATTGGTATTACAACTGTAATAGTTTATCACAACATTTATGTAAATTATGATAAAGTATTTTTTGAACATGATGTCATCATTTGTATTTGGAACAAAGTTGTAAAACCAAATAAATGTGTGGTCAGATAACAAAAAAAAAAAATGTGCAATGACTAGGTATTTCTATGAAATGATTGGCAAGCATATGAAAATATCTGCTTAGAACTCTTCCAAGGAGAATTATAACACAATCTAAATCCTACTTTAAGTCAGTAAACTTACCTTTGTGTTTAGTGCCGAGCTCCTTTGTTAAGTACAACAACAAATATTCTGTTGGTGTCATGTGTATGCTTCATCAAAATAGGGAGGAATTCCAGATAGGGAACAGCCAACATGGCTTTATGAGGAAAACATGAAAACTCGATTATTTACATTATTATTACATGTAATATTAGTTTTTGAGGGATGCCGAGTTCAAAAAAGTACACTAAATAAACCAAAAAGCATGCGTTAGACATACCTGTGCAGAAATAGATTTGCCAGTACTTTAATTCATTGGCTGTTTATTCTATTAATTTAACTTTTGAGCTAACTGATAAGTCGTTCAAAAAATCATACAGTTTGAAAAATTTTAGTTGTAAGCAGAAATTTTCATTTGTTTGTGTCTGAGAGTGCTAAGCAATTTTTTTTTATTTGATACTTTGCTTCTACTAACACTTTGCCAATGGTGTTTATTTTAGGTTTTGGCTACTATAAATTTTGTTATTTTTGTCTCCAAATGCTCAGATATATTAAATACTATGAACATGAACCAAACATTTTATTGATTGTATGCTGAATCATTATTGAAATTTGAATTATTTAACCATGAGGTCATTTACATAACCACTTGCTGATAACAGAGCAAAAACAACACAATTAGCAAATAAAAACATTAGTATTAGTCACTGTGGCTAAAACTATATTGACCAGTCTCTAGTCATTTATTATCGATACAGATTCCAGATACAGATAAATTGTGGTAGACTACTAAACTATGTCCATAGTTTGGATTGTGCAGGTGATGGTATATAGCTGAAGTGGAGGGGGTTATCACTTGCGCATGTGCAGGAATTCAGTCCCAAGCGATGATAACAATGCACGCTGAAAGATGCAAAGGCTCATGGATAGATGCTTAAAAATTCGAAGGCTCATGTTTGTAAACGACACTCTATGGCCATTAATTGCTGCATGTGCAGGTGACGACTCCCTCACTTTAACAGGAATTTCTTGTTAAAAGAATATATACAAAAGCTTACCAGAATGTACTTAATTTCATGAGTTATTTGTCTAGAAGAAAATTCACAGTAAAACTTAACTATTAGTATTTTTCGAGATTCTGTACAATGGGAATCTGATTTGATTTGCTGTCTTCCAATAAATTCTTTACACACACAAGTCATTTGTAATTCCAGAATTTTTTTTTATTAGAAACGCACATAAACCAGGAGTTGAATTTGTTGTATACTGATAAGTGTATCATAATTTTATAACTATCCCAAATATCAATTTGGCTGGTCATTAAAAATTAAAAACATCACCCAACTTGATGGTGATTGGGTTCTATCCTTATTTCTCATTGTGACATGCAGGTAAAAGGCGTGTTATATTGTTATTGTTGAATCAGATTGAGATAGGGTCATGTGTGGATCATATTCCGACTCTTTTAAACTCTGCTAAGAATATGAATCGCTGAATTCCTTTGCTACCAAATGCACATACTCAAAACATGGCCACCAAAGTGATACTTTCCACATGAAGCATTGCCAGCACTGTGAATCTGTCATGAGTACCATGACCAGTGTGATTTTTGTGCAAATTATGGATGTGTGGTTTGACAATGTTTTCATGTGGTGCACACGTGTGGACTTTGTGAAGCAGATCTTATATAAGCGATTGTCAGTCTGTTGCTTGTGTCAACTTTTTACATTTTCAACTTACTTTTGAAAACGATTATAATTGCTTTGATACTTGGTGTATATATATACAGATACCTTGGGGCAGACCTCTTAGCTTTTGTCATTTTGTGATGATATCTTTAATTCTCTAATTTTGAATATTTTTGTCATTTTTGGTAAAAAGTGATATTTTCAACTTCTTGTTAAAAACTGCAAATTATATTTCTTTGATATTATACATGTAGGTACCAAATGTGGACCTTTCTCAGATTTGTTTATTTCGGGATATCTTCAATTTTCTTATTTTGATGAATATTTGTCATTTTTGGATCCGGATTATTTCAAACTAGTTCTTAAAGCTACAAACTTATTAAATGATGGTGGATTATAAAACAAATTTTACAAGGTACATCGCACTAAACTTGAGGCAATTCTGTTAAATCAGAAGAAAAAAGGCCACTAGTCAATCGGTTTGAAACTAATCTCAATGTGCATCAGTAAACCATTATGGAGTTCATGACAGTGACTCTGACATGTACAAGAAACAGTTAATGACCTGTTCCAATTTTGCGATTTATTTTTTTAACAAAAATGGCTACCAGTCGAGTTTCAATGATATACAAAACTAACAGAAGACAACTTTCCACCCATTATTTCTTGCCTATGTACCAAAGCCCTCCCAACTGACCAGGAAAAGTCAAAATTTACTCAAGTAAGGTGCTTTTCAGTGCAGTTGCAAAAGGACACGACATAAAGCTTGGAACAAGGTATAAGAAGTTTAATCAATGAATGCAACGGTGGCTACAAAATATAGCCAAAACACTATATACAATATATACCGGTATATACAATTTAGACAGCGATTGAATAAAACTACATTTTGTACTTGAATCATGGCATAGGTACAAATAATCTACCCTTTAGGTAAGGTAGCATACATACAAGGTAGAATATATGTTCACAACACCCGTCGACAAACAAGCTGCTTTCTGAAGACTAAGTGGATGCCATATAGGAAGGAAAGAAACAAGTTATATTTGTTAATATAGATGTATTGCACAAAAATATGGCACCTGTGCATAAAAGCACTAGAATTGTTGGTTGACAAATGCCTTCAGAGAATGGCCTGTACCTGACTAATCACATGCAGTTGGAAGCGATGTCATCTGATTATAAAGTGAAAGGAGCCTCTATCTACCCTACTTTAGATTGCATCACATATTCAATAAAAGTCCTCCACAAAACTTGTTCTTGCAGAGATAAAACCCCATTGATTGACCGATCAGAACAGGTCAAGCATGTTTGTCAACAAATACCAAAGTTGACCAGAATGACATGAAATCTTTATCATCAATTTCCTTTGATAAAAAGCTATTTAGCAGAGTCAATGATGTTTGTATGAGAACAAGTCATTGTCAATGACACGTCCCCGTTCCGTTCATATTTGAGTAACATATACATTCAAAGCGGCAACAATATGGATGTTGAACTGCATTCAGTAAAACAAAATAGCCACCAGTCAGCCATTTTCAACACAATCCAAAAAAAAAATTAAACTAAATTTGCCCTCGCATGACAGATTCAGTTCCGGTATGGTGAAAATGTGCAATTTTTGTGAATTTTTGACCTTAAAAGGACTGGCCCAAATGCACAGGCATATGTATGATGTGTATGTGAAGTTTGAACTTGATCTGTCCAGGCATGTCCGAGATATGGATCGAAAACTAAATCCTTTAAAACAAAATGGCCGCCAGTTGGCCATTTTGAACTTGATCCGAAGAAAAATTGGTATGCATCAAGCTTATATTATATTTAATATATGCCCTAAATCTGAACAAAATCCATCCATCCATGCATGACTGAGATCCGGTTCCGGAATTGATAAAATACGTGATTTTGATGCATTTTCGGCCTTAAAATGGCCATCATTCAGCTATTGTTAAGTGGATCATGAAACAAATGCACATATCTATTTGTGACATGATGTACCATGTGTGTGTGAAGTTTGAACTTGATCAATCCAGACATGTCTCGGATACGGATCCAGAACTGAATTCTTTAAAACAAAATGGCCGCCAGTCGGCCATTTCGAATATGATCCGGGAAAAAAAATGACGTGCATCAAGGTCCTATAGTGTTTAATGTATGTACCAAATTTGAACAAAATCTGTCCACGCATAACTGAGATCCGGGTCCGGAATGGTGAAAATGTGCGATTTCAATGCATTTTCGGCCTTAAAGCGGCCGCTATTTGGCTATCTTTAATGAGAACATGAAACAAATGCACATACATATTTGTGACATGATGTACCTTGTGTGTGTGAAGTTTGAACTCTATCAATCCAGACATGTCTCAGATACGGATCCAGAACTGAATTCTTTAAAACAAAATGGCCGCCAGTCGGCCATTTCAAGCCCAATCCACACAAAAAATGACATGCATCAAGGTCCTATTATGTTTAATGTACCAAATTTGAACAAAATCCGTCCATGCATAACTGAGATCCGGGTCCGGAATGGTGAAAATGTGCGATTTTGATGCATTTTTGGCCTTAAAATGGCCGCTATTCGGCTATCTTTCGGGATCATGAAAAAAATGCATGTGCACATGTCCCATATAATGTGTGATGTATGAGTGAAGTTTGAACTTAATCGGTCCATGCATGTTCGAGATACAGGTGATCACGGACGCACAGATGCATGGACGCACACAGGGCAAAACATAAGTCCCCGTTTTCGGACTACGTTCGAACTGGGACTAATAAAACCTAACATCAAATTGATTAAACCACTTCTTGTCAACACAAGTACTGGTACGTGAAGACTTCTATTTTTAATGTACCCTTTTTATGCACCCAGTTAATTAAAATGCATGTTATTTAAATGCACAGTAATTCTGTAATATAATATTGTACACTGTATATATTTCCATGTACAATCGGTGGTTTGAGTAACAATATACATCTGTTTAAATAGAAATAGCATACAGGTAACTGACCAAGCCACGCGACAAAGGATTGTAAAATAACTAATTTTCCATTGCATCACCATTAGTGAAACCAAAACTCGATAAACGAGTTCTCAATGAATCACTTGGCGAGTGTGGTATTGATCCAATCTCAAAATTCTTCTTAATCTTCTCGAAGAGTTCAGGTTCCTCCAGAACTTCCACAGCTGCCATAGCCATGGCTTTCGCCACTATCAGTGTGCATTTATGTGCAGTTTTTGTGCCTACAGCCTGGTTGTATGCGGCCGTTTTCACAATCGCAGGAGTGTCAATACTAAACGTGGGTCGAATGCTTGGCACTACATACGACACATTACCCATATCGGATGAACCAGTAGGCGTGACAAGTACTTCGGGGTCTGATGGGAAAATTGCTCCAAGCATTTCGGCATGTTTCTGGAACAGCTCTACCATCACGTCATTGTGAAGCATATTACGAAATGGTTTCCCTGAAAACTCAAAGTGTGCTTCACAGCCAGTAGCTTTCCCAGCAGCTATGATGCATGCTGCTACTTTCTGCTGCAGTATATGGAGATCTCTGGCGTCTGCTGCTCGTAAATAGAATTCCATTTCAGTTTCCTCAGGAATCATGCTTGGCATCACGCCACCTTTACTGATAATGCCTGCAATGCAGAAATTAAAAAGAAAATAAATGCCAGAAAAACTACTTCAGTATTCTGTGAGACAACTCAAGGACAATATTAGTATTACCGGTATAAAGTGTCTAACTATCAGCTTGGTAATGAAAATAAAATGAATTTGGAACAAATAAAGGAAATGTATGTACCACTGCCAAATTCATCAATTACTGTAAAATGACTAATTTTCACTGGGTTTAAATTTCACTGATTTACCATTTCAGGCATATTCAGTGGGTTTTAAATTCACAGTTTTATCATTTAGATAATGTGTTCTGTGCTAAATTTAACATATTCACTGGGTTTTAAATAAGCGCATTTTCTAGTCAGCAAAATAAGCAAAATTAAAACCCAATGATTAATTAACCCGTTTACAGTATTCATTGCAACTAAAATCCCTGAATTAAACCTGTGTGAACATATAAAATTACTATGATTAAATATAGAGCACTGTTTTACTGGCAAACCTAGCATCAGGCAATGTGTTGAATACTAGTGAAAATTAATGCTTTTATCAAACTGAATATTAAATAAGTGACTATTTTACATTAACATTTGAGCGCATCAATTTCCCTCACAGTCATGCAATACACTATTAAATGCAAATCAACCATGATGCAGTGGGTCCTATAAAGGAATAGGTTCAACAGGCCCATTATGTATTTCAGTTTCAACAATCAACAAATTAAAAAAAATAAGTGCTTATCTTTACATATTCTCTGGATATTTTTCTTTACTTTTATTTTAGTTTTCAAGCTACACTAAACCTGATCTATGTCAAAATTGAGTATCCAGTTTATATTTTTTACTCCGACATCAGAGTTGAGATTACACAATGCATGACATACAAATTAGAAAAAATATTGAATAAAAATTAATTGAGCTATTTTGGCCGCAAGAAAGTGTTAACGATGACAATCAGTTATACAAAAACTGTATTATAGTGAACTGAATCACATCATTTCAAATATTTTCTAGATGAAAATTTTTATTGTTGCATGGTTGTTATGGCAACCAATTACGAATCACCATTTAATAATATGTATTTAGAGTTAACTTAGTAAATCATGCAAAACTGGCCCATTATATTTAAAAGTGAAAGATGACAACGTAAACAGGAAATGAGATGAATGAATTCATTTTAATTATTCAGTCAGTCAACACCTAACAATATATATGCATAGATTTTTCAAAGAAATGACGTCTTAAGGTATTAGATTTATTGACGCATGAAGGCAATTACAGTCACTCTTGAACATTTTATTGATTGTGTTGCTTCCACGTATTGCCAAGAAACGCGATAGAAACTTTCATTGATATGCAATAGCAATGTGACGCAGTTTTGCTAATGTTTATCTTGTTAAAATAATTCATTTGCATTGAGAAAAACAATCATCTATTAAAATTTTAGGCAAAGCTAATTCATGATCACAGCTAATGCAAGGCGGGGATGATGCCGCATTGTAGCGATGCTTGCCTTTTGTTCATGCAAAGCGGAGGCAGCGTTGTACGTGAAAACTGTACTGTACTGTGAAGTTATCACAAGGATACAGCAAAGTATGCACAAAGGCAGTACAGTAATTGTATCGACTCAAACCTAGCAAATACTATTATTTTTATGGTAGATTTGAAATAAAGTATTGTAAAGCACATAATGGGGAATATTCAGATTTGGGGGGCAAAATGCAGAGCTGGGGGTGTTTATTTTATTTTTCAGAAAACCCAGAAACTGATCAATTAACTTTTAAATTATTGCTTTCAATTTATGGAGCCAAATTTATTCGAGTTGATATTAACATGATTGCACACTTAATATTGAAAACGATTAACATTTAATGAAAAGGGTGGTTTAAGCGTAAATGTTATTAAAAAAAAATGTAAACACTGCAATATAATCTCACGTACAGTAGTCAAATATAATTTGAAACAAAGAATTACAGACAGCAGTGAAATAATTAAGGTTCTCTCTGTATAATTTACTTAAATATTTTGGAAATTCAAGAAAACAAAATTCTGCAGATCACTTTTTCCTTCAGAGCAGTCAAAAGGTAAAAAATAATTTGATTAGGGTATGAAGAGATAAATTGCACTGATGAAAATGACTCCGACATTTAGATGTTTTTTTTGAGGGCGACACAATTAGCGAGATAAAAGAATAATCTATCACAAACACTATAGTAACTATTATCATGGAGACGGAGAGTAGATTTATGAGAAGATAGGGTAGATAGAGGAATTAGTTACACTACGATAGATAGGACTTAATGGTTGTTGAGATTAAATTTACAACACTTCAGTAGGTTTCAATCCCATAACGTTAATTTACTACACACACACAGCAACGATAATGTGTTTTATACTACGTGTTGAAACACTGCTTGATTGGAAGTATTATTAGTTTTAGATTGGAAATTTTCACCTAAATTTATAATGCTTCTCAAAATGACCTACCGGTAATCACAGATTCGGATTACGTAAATTGATGCGTTTCTAAGACTTGCCACAGAATTTAATATGAATATATTGTGCAAAATTAAACAAAATAATTAGATAATTCTGGAAAAAGTTCTCTTTTTTTTTTTAACTTTGTATCAACGAAATGTGCAAAATGTACAGATCTATTTTTTTCTACCTAATAAGAAATGAGTTGTATCATACTGATTGAATCCCTCTTTGGAGATAGTGATTTGGTTGATTCTATTTGGCTCATGCCATTCAAGACTGATAGACTTACCATGTATCTGCATACTTGTTTTTGTCTGTTGCCTCAATGCTGCGATATTATTATAACACAACACTGCCGCATCCAGAGCGTTCCTGCCTTCCCATGGTAATGATGCATGCGTTGGTTTGCCGCTATAAGTTACCTTCATCTGCAGCATGTCCAGTAAGACTGCCTTTGCTATGTTATGGTGTTGAGGCTGTGATTTCATCACTACATCAATGTTTTGAAATACACCAGCTGTTAACATATCAACCTTGGCACCACCACTCTCACTGGCTGGGCAACCTAAGACAGTTACCTGAAAAGGACATTA